AGTCGAGGATGTAATCTACAGCATGGTGACTATAGTTGACAATATTGTACATTTGGAAGTTGCTTAGAGAGTGGATCTTAAAAGTTGTCACCACAAGGGAAAAGTTTGTAACTATTTGTGGTGATGGATGTTAACTAAACTTATTGTGGCTATCATTTTGCAATATATGCATACATCAAGTCTTTATGTGGTATACCTAAAATTAATGCAATGTTGTACGTCAATTAGATCTCAATTTTTTAATAAAGCTCCTTCAGATCAGTAAAAATACCAATGTCATGGAAATCTAGACATAAATGTATACTAATAGTTCACTGAAAAGGAATAAAAGCAACTCAAACAGATGAAAAGATTCTCAACCTTACTCATCATGGGTGAAATAAAAGTAATGCTACAAAGGTATTATTCCTATAGTATCGACAGACATAAAAATGTCTTAAAATACACTGTGCTGTCAAGAGCATGGGGAAGCAGGTACTCTTCAAATTGCTAGAGAGAAACTCTTAAACTTGGTGAAATCATACAGATAAGTGTACTTGACAGGCACTATCAGCATTAGAGACGTACATACCATTTGCTCCAGTTACTTTACCTATACAGATATATCTTACAAGTATATTAGAACATCAGTAAAATTATACATACACGGTTATAAATTTCAATCTTATTTGAAATAAAAAATGAAAAAAACCCCAAACATTTATTAATAGAAATTTTGTCAATAAAATTCAGCCATAAAAAAAATGAGAAAAAAATTTTTTTTACAGATATGGAACAAGTTTAAGTGAAAAAAGCAAGGTATGTATTGTATATAGTATCATTATTTGTACTTTTAAGGTTAAAAAGTAATATAGATTTATATTTATAGAATCAGGAATAAATAAAATTTAAAAGTAGGATTCTAAATCTAACTCTTAAAATGTGAGTAAAAATGGGCTAACTCAGCAGGTGAAGGATATTTAAATCTTGTATATGCAAAGCAGTCTCCTGGGAGGTAACCTGTCAGCGTTTAGACTATTCTGCCAGGTACGAGTGTGTGTACACCTGGGCCCTTGGGCTGTGCCAAGAAGGTTAGGCTAATAACGTGAGGTACGGTGAACACCTGCTTCTACTCATTTGGGGACCTCAGTTTGACCTCAAGGAGGGACTGGAGACTGAAGTAACATTCTGACATCCTTCACTTAAGACCTCAACCTCCAGTCCCTCCAGCCTATGTCCTCAACATGCCAATTCTTCAACCCTGTCAGGATCTACTCCTTGACCATCTGCAACCCCTGTCTTCATGTCCTCCCCCTGTGGTAGACTTTGAGGCTCAGCACTAAACTGACACCCTGAACACCTCCACCGTATGCCCCTTTCATCATTCCCACTCGGCCAAACCACAGCTCGGCCTCTTCCAGACCTGCCCGCTAGACACGCTTCGGCCTTATTTGATAAAATCACACACATGACGATGCCCGTGCCACCATAAACTCACGGACACAAGACACCGAGAAGCTCGTCCCCTCGCTCAGACCCCGCACAGCCCGAGCGCACCGACCGCCGACCACGCGCTGGGCCCTCGTGAGCCCCACAGCGCGCCTCCCGCCCCTGAGCTGCCCGCACGGGCTCCCCGACCAGCCGCCCCTCCAGCCTGCCCACGGCGCCTTCAGAGTTCTCCGCGTTCCCCACACCTTGGCTGCCCCGCAGACGCGCCGGGGCCCCCACTTCACGGAGGAGCCCGAAGCCACCAGCCGGGAGCTTCAACTCAACAGCTCTGGGCGGGGACGTGCGCCCCGCGCCTCCCTCCCCTGCCTCGGGCCGCGCCGGGCCGGGGCCTCCGGCCGCGTTTCTGTCTTCGGAGCGCATCCTGCCGGCGGCTCACTGCCCGGGCCCCCGGCCCGCCCCCAGGGCCGCTCCCACAGGCCGCGCCGCCGGCGCCGAGCTCCTCCTCGCGCGTCCGAACGCGAGCGCGCGCCGGCCTCCCTCAGCGCCGCCAGAGGGCGTGTGCCCACGGCCACGACAGCGCACGCGCAAGGCCGCCGCAGACGGGGCGAGAGCCGCCCGACCCCCAGGGGCGCGGGCCCGCCGGCCTCGAACGCGTTGTGCGGCAGCTCTGCGGACAAAGAAGCAACGTAGCAGCCGTGCTGCCTGCTGTACACTGAGACCCCGGTGGGACCTGCCGGCGGCGCTGCGCGAGCGGCGGCCTGAGTCCGCGAGGCCGCACGTACCTCTGAATTGTTGTGAGGCCCGCGGTGGGAGGCGCCGCAAGCGGCCCCGAGCTGAGCGGTCTGTGGCCGCCGCGGCCTCGGCCGACAGCCCCTCCGGCCTGGAGAGGAGGCCCCGGGCGGCCCGCAGGCCGAGGCGGGGCGCCGGGTGTGCGCGGCCCCCCGGGCCTCGCTTCCAGAGGGGCGCCGGGCGCACGGCGCCGCGGGCAGGGCCTGCGGAGGCACAGGGCGGAGATCGGGCACCGGCGCCCCTCCCAGGGGCCCGCACTCCCCTCGCTGAGTGCACTTTCTCTTTGTAAATAAAACTTTTACTCTTCTTCACTATGTGTCTCTGCCCTTCAGTTCTTTGCTGCGGCGGGGACAGGAACCGAGGGGAATACACACGCCCTCCTGACCGGAGTCCCAGGCCAGGGGCGGGATGGGGGACGGAGACGGCTGGGAGGGCAGGGAGAGAGGGGTGCGAGCATGGGGACAGAGAGCTTGGGGAGGGCAGAAGGGAAGCCTGGAGGAGGAGCTAGGAGAGAATGGCAGCTGGGGAGGGAAGCCACGGAGCCTCTGTGCTAGTGAGGCAGGGACCGTGGGTGCAGACCCAGCAGGGTGAGGGTCTCCGGAATAAAACCCCTCCTGAAACTCCATATTAAACAATTAAGCAAAGTCAGTCACATTAATTCTCTAAAGTAATATAAGCATTCTTGTGTCAGATTAATTAAAACTAAAAAGCCAAGAGTAACTTGGCCTGAAATGTTTGAATATCCCCCACATAAGAAAAGACCGCAGCATAGCCCATGTCTTCATTGTGTCAATTACAAGAGGCTATTGTAAAATGTACTGTAGCCTGCTAAAAGGCCCGGCTTATTTTCTTTAACTTTACCCAGATGCTGCTTTTCTTCCTCTAGCCCTAATCTAACGATTTGCATCCTAGGCAAGTAATAATGGCAAGCAAACCCAGTCACAAACAACATACTAAAAACAGGAAAGATTCCATCTTAAAAGATAAGATTGCATTTTAAAACCCAAGAAGTCAAAAAATAGGTTTCTTAACACAGCAGACAATAAGTCAGCACACCTTGGGAACAGGACAGGAAGTCCTGACTGATAGGCTCCCAAACCAAGAAGCTGTTATTCTGGAAAAGAATCAGACCAGTAAATTTCTAGTGTTAACTGGACAAAATAATCTGAAAGACTGGTAAGAAATTAAGTGTCTCTTCAAAGATAAGCATTTGGAAACTATTAGGAGGTCTGCATCCCTTGCCCTTCCTCTCTCACCTGCCTATAAATCCCCTAGACAGTGCATCACCCCGGGGCTATCTTGTCCCCTCTGGACAGGTACAAGCCAGGACCTCTGTCCTCTGCTTTTTCTCTAAATAAAAGCCTCACACATGCTCTCCTACCTTGAGTGTTTGCAAAGTTCATTCTCTGAGCCTGAGAACAAGAACACCAGCATCAGCTTCTCTGAGGAGCCCAAAGACAGGGAGCCCCCAGAGCCCATGCCTGGGCACAGAGTAGTGCACCTGGGGCCAGAGGGCCCTGCCACCTCCCCAGCACATGCCAGGTGAGGCAGGTGCACTGCAGCCACAGTCAGGGTGGCCACGCAGCCCTGTGAGCCTGGTGTCCCAGCACCTGAGGTCCAGGCTGTGGTGCGCTTGGGGCACCTGCACACACCAGGACAGGATGGACCACTGGCCCAGTGACCACCCAGCAGGTTGAGGCTGGTGGGCCGTGCAGGATGACAGGTCTGACCTGGGCCACCGCCCTGCCAGAGGCCTGCCTGCCCTCCTTCTGCCCAAACCTCCCTTTCTATGTGGCCGGGGAGCCTGAGGTTATCCCTGGGACCACCGTGCAGGCAGATGGCTCTGAGTGTGCTGTGGGCAGGGCAAGGGGAAGGAGGGTGGCTTGGGTGTCCCAATTTTACATCCTGTCACCTGGTCACCTGAGGCTGTCAGGAGGGCCCACGTCCACTTCTCCAGTCCCAGTCTGGGGCCCCACCTGAAGCATAAGCCCTGGAGACTTATCTCCAGCCTAGAGCCCCCCAAGGAGGTGTTTGTGCTGATCCTGGACCTCCCCTCCAGGCCAGGCCTCCCCTCCTGGGAGGGTGAACACATCCTGAGAGCCCTGGCGGAGCGTTATGGGGAGAATCAGAGCCAAGTGCCTCCACTCAGGTCACAGACGTCAGGCCGTTCAGCCAGGACCCAGGAGTGGGACACCAGCGGCCTCACACCAGCCTGGCCTGGGGCTGGACGGCTGAGATGCACCATGGAGGAGGACTGGGGACCTGGGAGCTTTGGTGGGTGCTCTGAGTTGTGAAGCGTAGAGAAATTGGGCTCAAAGGCCCCCAGTGGAAGGTGTGCACCTCTTGGAGGTGCTTTGAGAGACCAAGTTCAACATTTTTTGAAAAGGAATTGCTTGGAATGGTTGGGGCGCTGTATGCATTAAATGGGACAATGCTAGACTGGTCCCCTGCAGCCCTGGGATCTACTTGGGTTATGACATCTGCAGTGGCATTCAAGGTGTGAAGAGTCACCCCAGGGTGTCTATTCAGTAGATTTGGGTGTCTGATCATCACCTATAGGTGTCAGGAAGAAAGACCCAGTTTCTGTTTGAACAGCCCTCCCCAGTGTTGCCAAAGTGTGCCAGTCTTCCTGAGCACCTTATGGGGGGAGGACAGAGGATGAAGGACAACCTGGCACAGGTCAGGGCCCCCCTGCGTCAGAGTTGGAGGGCTGGGGGTGGGGTGGGCTGGGGTACACGATGTCTGCAGGAGGGGCAGAGCTTTGAGAAGAAAGAGCAGTGTGGTGGCAATCGTTCATCATTTATTACATTCTGCACAGGGATGACCCCAACCCCCAGGAACCATAAACCTCTGACACAACACCAAGACCACACTGTGCCTGGGGAGGCTATTTCTCAGGGATGAGGGGAGGGAGTTGCACAGGGGCTCCGCTGGGAGCATGTCCTGGGACCCTGCAACAGCCAGCCACCCCTGCAGCCTCGGATGCCTCCACTGGGTACCCAGGGGGCGCTGGTCCCATGCAGCACTGTGCCGTCTCTGTGTCCATCCTGGGAAAGGCTGGCCATCGTGAGGACAGGCCCCAGCTCTTCCTGGACTGTTGTGGCTATGACTCGGTGGCTGATGGCACCCAGGCAGCAGATAGCGTCACGGCGGGAGGCCACCTACTCGAAGGGGAAAACCCTCCACACGGTGGGGTGGCTCGCCTTTGTCCAGCGGGCCACGAACAGAGGGTAGGACACAGCACGAAGGTGGCCAGGTTGGCAGTGGCTACGTACAGGCCCTTGAGGATGCAGTGGCAGCATGGGAAGATGCCAAAGTCTGTGGACGGAGGAGGTGCCAGAGCACCTGCCCAGCAGAGGTTCAGGATGAGCAGCGGGAGGAAGAGGAGCAGCAAGCAGTCTGGGGTCCTGGGGCGCCAGATGCCTCCTGCCCTAAGGGGAAGAAGCTCTCTCCACGTGCAGCCAGGACACCAGCAGGGCCGAGGGCCCGATGACAGCAGCTACAGGGCCACGTGGGTGAGAAGAGGCAGGTTATCCCGGGTTCCCACATTACCCTGGTTCCACCCCGTCCCCACTGCCCTCTGGGCTCTGGGCCCTGTGTGGAGAGTCCTGTCAATCACCAGCACCCGGGGGGTCCCTGTCACAGGAAGGCTCCTGAGCATTACCTACTTACAGAGGAGGAGGCTGTGTCCCAGAGGGGGAGGGGAACTACCCTTCAGTCTGACAGGCCTGGTCGGCCATGGAGCTGGGATGCCAGCCCCACCAGTCTTTAGGATGCCCCCACACCCAACATGGCCTGAAGCTTCCCTGAGGCTGAGGAGCAGCCCACCCCCTGCTGATCCCCCCAGCACAGAAACTCACCTGGCCCTGGCCAGTAAGTTTAAATCTTGTGGGACCTGAAGGACTGTCCCTTTCTGCTGGCCCTCTGGCATGGGGGCTCCAGCTGGCAGGACAGGCTGTAGCTACAGGACAGAGGGACACCTGTGAGCCCCTGGAGCCACATGTCAGGGGGCCCTTCTCCCAGAGCCTGCTGGCAGCTGCAGCTCACGCCTGACTCCGGCCGGCCTCACCTCTCCTCCTCATCCAGGGGCTCCACGGCCTGGGCAAAGGACAGGAAGCACTCATCGGGCTCCAGGTCATACACCTTGGCCAGCTTCCTCTGCATGGTGATCTCACTTTGGATGACAGCGAACTGGGGCAGAGCAAGAACAGGGTACAGAGAAGGAGGTGTGTGAGGAGTGGGGCGCTATGATGGTCCCGGATCTTTGCTCATGGGAACCCGCCTTCCCTCCAATGCCATCCAGCACTGCCTGTTCTGACAGTTGGGTCTCCAGCTCCTCCTCCGGGAAGGCAGCCTTGATGCCACACCCCATCCCCCACCTGACAAAGCCTTGAGTGTCCTGAGATCTGGGTGTCTTAACTTTCTCAAGACACATTAGGCCCAGGGGATGGGCTGGACAGGGTCCTGCCCAGGGGGTCTTGACGGCAGGAAGGAAACCAAAGTGCATCAGAAACAGCCCCCTGAGCCCAAAACAAGGCCAGAACGTCCCCACCCTTTCTCAAGTTGGAGGCCCACCTGGGCCTCCAAGGCTGTCCTGCCCAGAAACAGCACCCGGAACTGGCCCAGGCTCTGGGCTACCGAGAAGTGGGGACTGCACCCGGGGAGCTGAGTCTGGGGAGCTGAGGCCTCCGGCAGGAAGGCACTGCCAGCCCCCTGATGTGCTTCCTGCCCTGAAGGAGCAATGTCCCTCCCCCTGGGCAGGGCCTGAGGGGGAGGCCAGTCCTGCCCAGATGCTGCCCCCTGGAGCCCTCAGCCCCACCTGCCCTGGGGCCAGGACCAGGGCTTAAGCCGGTCCTTCTGGCAGTCCTCTCCAAGAAGCCCAGCTCCTGGGGTGGAGGGGGGAATCAGGAGGGGGGGAAACCTGGTGCTGAGAGGTCTGGGCTCACTGGGGGCTCTCTCCTCTCTAAAGCTCACCATCCTGCCCCCCTGTGCCCCTCGGGGCTCACTCACGTCCTCATATTCCAGGTGTTTGTCTATGGAATCGTCCAGGATCAGTCCAAGGTAGGGGATCAAGTCCTGTGCCACCGGGGTGGGGAGGTGATGAGTCCCCGCCTGCCTCAGGGGCACCCACAGAGCCTCCCCTCAACCCTACACCCACAGCCCCCAGCTCCCTTGGACCACCCTGTGCTGCCTCCCCCCATCCCTTCGCCCTGCTCTCCCCTCCCGGTCCCTCCCAGGGCTGGCTTTTGGCCAATCCCAGGACCTGTGGCCCCTGCACCTGTCCTCCAACTTCCCCCTGTACCCAGCTGCTCTCGCCCTCCTCCTGGTCACCCCAGTGCTGGCAGCTCAGGGCTGGTGGCACCAGGAGCAGGTACAGGGTCGCACCCACCGCCCCGAACCTGGCCACGCCTCTCTCACCTTTGTCATCCTCTCCTTGGGTCCCATGCGGCCCCGCTGCCTTGCCCTCAATATGGACTCCATCTCCTGCAAGGTCCAGGACACTCAGGTGCTCGTGCACTCCTCCCACGTGGCCTCCCACAACCAGACCGTGGTTGATGGATGCCAAGCCCCCAGTCAAGTGGAGCCAGGGAGGGAGACAGATGAGGCCCTCGGGGGCCTGGGGGACCCTACTTCCATCAGCTCCCGCCTCTCACCCCACACACATTGAGTCTTCCCCAAAGCTGTGCCATAGCACGGCAGAGGACTTGCCCCGAGGACCCCTCCCTTCCAGACCTCCAGCCCCCATTTACCTTGAACAGCCGCTTCCTGTGAACCCAGTTGTCCTGCGTTTTCAGGTCTTCATATACCATCAGGCAGACGCTAAGGGGAGGGGAGAGGAGGAGGGAGACATGTGGCCAGCAGGTGGAGAGTCTCGGGGCAAACCCCATTTCCTGGAGATCCTAGAAGGTTCACTAGCCTGTAGAGGGCTTTCCACCATGGCCCTGAGCCCTGGGGAATCTGTGGCCTGTGGAGGGGGCTCCATGTTTCCACCCAGGGGCGAATCTGCTTTGGGCCAGGTCTCTGTCCTTGGGGCAGAGACCTCCCGTTGCAGAACACAAGCTCAAGATCTCCAATGGGCTTCAACCCACACCTGACATTGGAGGAAACTGATTCCTGCAGGGGTACCCCTGGCCTAACCCACAGGGGGCCCCAAGAGCCCGCCATCCCTGTCCTTATGCTCCACCGCCTCCCAGGAAGTCCCAGCCAACTGAGGGGACACTGCCAGATGTAGGTGTGTCCCTGTCCACTCAGGTGCCCTGGTTCCAGGGACAGGAGTACCCACCAGGAAACATGTCCCCAGGTGCTTTCCAAACGATGAATAGCAGGGCTCTGCAGGGCAGAGACAATGGCATGGAGGGCAGTGTAGTTCCTGAGGTTCAGACTCCCCTGGGAGGGAAGACAGAGCTGAGAGCGTGGCCTGCTTCTCTGCTCTGTCCCCCCATGAACTCCTGTCCTTAAGGAGACAGACACCCAGGGAGCCCAGCACACCTGGTACCTGCTGAGCAGCCCTCCTGGGTGGAGGACTGTAGCTCAACCCAAGAAAGGGGCCAGGGATGGCTGTCCCACCCCTGGGACCTGTGAGTGCAGGTCCACACACCCCTGGCAGGAGGGGCCCAGGGACTGTGCAGGGCTGACCACAGGCACCCATCCTGAGAGCTGGCCAAGGAGGGGACCCCGGGGACTTCCCATGACATACCATGGCCACCCAGATCCAGAACCTAACCACTTCAGCCCTGTCCCAGGCCATCATGCTCGGGGTCCCGAGGCAGGTGGTGGTGACCAACTTAACCAAGGCATCAAATTCCCTGAGGGACCTATACGTGTCTCCCATCTGTGGCTGGTTCTGTAAGTAATTGTTACATTCCACAAAGTCCATCCTGTCGTACAGCCTCTGGGGATGACAAGGGAGGGTCATCCAGCTGTGCCTCTGGTGCCCCTGTTCCCAGGCAGGGTCACTGGTCAGAGCTGGAGCCCAGGCAGCTGAGGACGTGCTGTGAGCCTTGTGGCCGTCCAGGCTTCAGACCCTGTCCACTGAGGCACCCAGTGGTGGGGAACAGAGGGGCTTTGCTCACAGGCACCCTCACTCACCTCCTCCCTGCAGCAAAAGACAGCTCATGCCTGCCCAAACTGTGGCATCTGCCTCCCATTCTGCCACCCTGTGGACCCCACTCCCCACTCAGGTGCAGTTTCCCCCAAAACAACTCCACCCAGAGCCTTTGTTGGCATCTGTGTCTCCAACACAGTCAGTCCATGGCAGGGGCCTCTGAAGTGTGGAGGCTGTGGAGGCCTGCCAGGCCAATGGCCCGAGGGCCTAAGGCCCTAGCAGTACCTCCCTGAGCACCCTCCCCTGCCCTGCCCCTCCCAGCACAGCCAGGCCCTGCCCACTTTCCCTCCGCTCCTCCTCATTGGTCCGCAAGTATCCCTAAGGGCCAGCCCTACTGTCCCTGTGTGGTTAGGGAGGGCTTGGGGGTGAGGAGAGTCTCTCAGGGCACATGGTGAGTCCGTGGGGAAGTGGGGACATGGGCCCAGATCACAGGAGTCCACGTCAGGGGACGGCAGGTCTGGGGCAGCCGGTGACAAAGGGCAGGCGCACCCCTGACCCTGAGAGCCCGCTCCGCTCACCGCACAGGTCAGGGTCAGCTGCTCAGCCACGAGGCCATGGGGAAATGCCAGAATAATCCACTCCTCCTTCCTCCACACATCCTGGGTGATCGCGACACAGGGGCTGGTGGGCTCTGGGTCCACCTCTGGCTCTGCCAGGCCTGGTGCCATTCCTGCAGGTGTCACAGGACCCAGGCCCGAGGGCTCATGGGGCTCCAGCTTGGGGCCTGGCACCAGGGCTGAGACTACTCCTGGGATGTCCCAGGGGCTCATGGAGTCTGTACATGGCTCTGGCTCTGCAAGGCCTGGTACCATTAGGGCAGTTGCTCCGGGCCCCATGCCTGAGGGCTCATGGGGCTCCAGCTCCAGGCCTTGCCTCAGAGCTGAGGCCTCTGCTGGGATGTCCTCCAGCTCTGCAGGGGCTGAAGCAGGTGACACCAGCCGTAGCTCCAGCACAGGGGTCTGAAAGAGCTCCTGGACTCGCTGTAGCCACAAAGCCAGCCCTCCCTTTGTCTCTGGGGCCAGCTGCATCTGCCGTGGGTCTGGAGCAGGACACAGAGAAAGGGTCACTGTGGGGCTGATTCCCCATATCTTACCAATGACAGAAGAGCCCTCACGTCCTTGAAGGGAACCCCAGTCCAGGAAGCCCACCCTAGACGGTCCCCTGGCTGTAGCCCCTCACCTTCCAGCTCTGCCACCGTGGGCCCCAGGTGCTCCTCCTGGACCAAGTGGTGGAGGACTTGGCCCTCCAGGGTGGATGAAGGCTGGCTGCCATGGAGGTCACTAGGCACATGCTTGGGCTCCCAGGCAAGGCGCCTAGCCCGTCCCATCCTGGGGCTGGAGGAAGGCGGTGGGGGTGGGGGTGGCAGAGTGAGAAGCCTGGTCTTTCCAGCCACACTGGCCTCCTGGTCCACTCTTGTGTGGGTCTGGCCGCTGTGCACTCCCCTGCCTGTCCAGGCACCTGCCCCTCCCACTCCTGACCCTGCGTGTCTGTTGTGGGACCCCATCCTTTCCCATTCTCCCAAATAGGAAGTCCCCAGTCATTAGCCCGCCCATGGGAATCTGAAGATGAGTGACCTACTGGGTTCTGCTGTGCTCTCCCTGCCCCAAGCCCCAAACTCCTCCTCCCCCCATTCTGTGAGATGGGCAGTGCTCCCTCTGGACCCAGTGAATGCTCACATTTTCAGTTCCTTCTCTGGCCCCTTGTAATGCCCCCTGTAACTTGAGGAGGCCGTGAGGGCATTGCCCGTGAAGCTCCCCGGCCATGACCTGCGGATGATGCCTGAAGTGACTACCCGACTCCACCTGGGACAGGGTCCCAGTATTGTGTCTGCTTCCTTCACTCAGTTATGCTAAGTGTCCCCAAAGGGTCTGCATGAAGTGGGCACTGCATACCTATTGTTGCTGAAGGAAGTCCTGCCAAAACCTTCCCAGGTATCCCTCTGCTGCCCCCAGAGGTCCCTCATGTGGCCATGGTGAGGTTAGGGACCAGGCCCAGCCACAGGGAATCGTGAGCCTCTGTTCCAAAGGCTGCTTTCCATGTGCTTTTCCAAATGAGCCAGGCTCCAGGCCACTGATGGGTGAGTCCAAAGGCTTTCATCGGGTACAGAGACGTAAGCCCCGAAGTGGCCCAGCTTGGCTGGCAGTCCTTTCTGCACTGCCCGGCACCAGAGGAGCCCCTCTAAGGCTCCTCCCATGTTCCCCATGGGCACCCTAACAGGCTGATCGCCAGCCACCCTGCCTGTCAGAGGAGCACACTGCAGCTCAGACACATGTGGGGACACGCAAGACACACAGCAGGCTGTGGGCAGAGGCCTGAGTGTGCCGAGGAGGGGGTGGGTGCTCACCGGGGGAGCCGCTGGCCCATGGTTGGCTGGTCAGCATCCTCAGGAGGGAGTGTGGACTCGGGAGTGTTCCAGCTGGTGTTTGGAGCTGGTTCCACTTGTGCTGTGCACTTTCTCTGCTTCCCCCTCATGCCTGTCCGGGGAGCCCTGTGCCTGGGGACCTCAGTCCCATGGACAGATGGCTCAGGTGTAGGCTGAGGGGACAGCAGTGATAGAGTCAGTGGGAAACCCAGGAACCACCAGGATGAGGGAGGTTCATAGCTCACCTGAGAGTCCCCAGCCCCCTGGGATGCAAGCAAGGAGAGGCACGGGGTGCCCCTGGGAACGAGGTTCCAGGCCCTCTGGAGTGGTCCTGTCAGCCACTCTCATGGGGAAGCCCTGGGAAGGCCCTGGCAGGTTGCCAGGTTTGGAAAGGGGTCCTGGGGTGTAGACAACCTGCCCCAGGTCCAAGGAGATGGAGTAGGTGAATCCATCCATCAGCTCCTCCACGCTCCCCAGGGTGAAGCTCTGCAAAGCCGGCACCTGGTAGCTGGGGAGGAGGCACCCATGGTTGCATGGACCTCCCCGCAGGGGGCAATGTGGGCCCCAAACTGTGCCCCCGAGATCAGGCCCACAGGGCCATCTGTGTAGACATCCAGTCCCTCAGGGAAGGAGAGGACACCCCTGGGCTCAGGACTAACATGTGGGTGGAAGTACCTGGTCCCAACACTCACCTCCAAATTCTGAATGATGAGACCAGAGCTGTGACACTGACTGCCCCTTGCTCCCCAGCCTTCAGTCCCACCCATGCCCCACACCCACCACACACACACAAGGGGCCTGGGGAAAGGTCAGCCAGTATGGGTCACACTCGTGGCCTGGCCCTGGAGTGGCCCGCTCTGGGCAGCCCTGTGTTACCTCGGGGCTCCTCGGGAGACACGGACAGAGGCGTTGGAGGAGGTCACTGAGCCAACACCCACAGCGAGCAGGAAGATGCTCCCTCTCAGCTTCCCTGACTCCCACGACTTCAGCAGGCTCCGCACAACAAGACCTCATGTTGCTCTGTCGAGCACCTCTGGTCAAGTGAGCAGGACTGGGTTCTGTGACCAGGAGCTGGATTCCGTCCGTCCGGGTCACAATTGAGGTTCTACTTGGCATGTCATCAGTGACATCACTTCTTCAAGGGCCCCTCCCTGCATTCAGACACACCCACATGCCCCTCTGGGATGCTGACTGCCCACCCTCCTGGCCCTTGCCATGCATGACTACACAGATCTCCACCAGAGCCCTCCGCTCACTCTTGGAAATGTCACTGGGGTCCCAGCTCTGAGGAGACAAGAGCTGAACTCAGGCTGCCTTTTCTCACCAGTTCCCTGTCCTGCTGAGGCCACAGCACCTCCCAGGACCTGCCCAACATCCCGACCTGCACAGGGAGGGTCATGCCAGACATTCCTCCCTAGGGACATCCCCAGGGATATATGGATGACACCTCCAGCTCCTGGGGGCTGGTGTCACATGTGTCTGACACACAGACTCAGAGATGGAAGAATGCCAACCAGGCTTGGCATGGAGCGTGGAACACCACGCAGGTCAGGCCAGGGTCCGGGCCTTGTGATCTTGGGCAAGTCCATCTAATGCTAGGCTGTTTTCAGGTGTGCACCTTGAAGGGGCAGCAATGAGAGGAGATCCAGGTGCTGCCTTCCACCTTCCAAAGGTCCAGGCTGCTCTCAAACTAGGTGCTTTTCAAACCAATCAGTAAATGGATCAGAGTAGCACACTGGAAATGAAGCCTATGCTGCCTCTGAAATCCGAGGTGGTCCACCAGGCTGCTGTGCTCTTTTGTGTGTGTGTGTGTGTGTGTGTGTGTGTGTGTGTGTGTGTGTTGGGGTGGGGGGGTGCAGATACAGCATCTTATTCTTCACCTTAGAAGGGATAGCTTCGCATGCCCACAAGATAGACTTCTAGTAATTTCTCTAAGATGAAAGGTCCCTGAATTTTTGTTGGATTTATTTCCCACCTTCTGACACGTGACTGCACTATCAAAATGCCTAGATGAGCTGTACTTCTTGATCACTGGGTCCAATCAGCCTAGTACCATCAATGGGATGGGCCAGTGTGACGGCTTCTGGAAGGAAAAGGAGATGAAGGTACCTTCTGTCTAAATGACAACCTAAGTCTGGAGGTCTGATATACCTCTGAGATAGTTTTCTCTCCTTGCCGACTGAAAGCTAACTGCTCTGCTGGTCTTTACTCACAGGAAGAGAACAAAGAGCATTTTCCTGACCAATAGTTACACACTGGGTGCTTGGGGATCAAGTGATGAAGCCCCATGTGCAGCAGGAACTGCAATTTGAGACACTCTGATTACATTGACAATCATGCCACTGTCATCTCCAAGATTCATCCATTTTCTAAGTAGGCTAAATGAGTGACTTCAATAAGGGTATGTGGAAATCACCACCCCTCCTTCTTTCAAATCCTTGGTGTCACCAGGCATTACTGCTTTCAATGTATACTTTGAGGGAGTTCTAGAGGCTTGTACTTGACCTGCCACACAGCATGAATTCCTTGCCGGCACAGTTCCCTGTGCCTAGCAAGGAGGAAGCTGAGAGCTCTGCGTCCCTGACAACTCAGCCCTGTGGGCTCTGACACTGAAGGAGTGGCACTGCGGACACTTGGTCAGCATGGGGGTTGCTGCTCCTGATACCAAGACCCGGTCCTCGTCCCTGAGGTCAAACCACAAAACACAATGACAAGATTTTGAGGAAAGGAAAGAATCGTTTATTGACTTGCTAGCAAATGAGGGAGTGGTAGCCTCCTGCCTTGAAGAACCATCATCCTCCTGACACACAAGCGGTCAGGGCTTTTCAAGGGAAATGGTAGGAGAGAGGCTGGGGTGCCGACACATGAAGTAGCAGCTTGCAAGGGTCCAGGCAGACATTCCTGCACCGATTCACTGGCTTTTGGTTTTTCTTTTCTGCTCCTCCTCAATCCCCTGGGACAGGATGCTTGGGGTTGAACAAAATCAACTTTCAGCTTTAACTCTGACCCTCAGACTAAGAAAATCTGGAGAACAAGAAGAAATTGCCACCCCATCCACCTCTGCCCATTAGTGGACAAAGTTTCTGGGGCTGCTTGAGTTCACTTTCCAGTGAATGTTAGTGTTCTGTTTTGAACAAAGATTTCGCTCCTCTTTTCCTCTACTACACATTCATTTATTACTGTTACATTCCCTCCTCCACGGTCTTAACAGGTGTCACAAAACAGATCATGAAATGCCTTGAGGGAGGGTTTCTGACTTTATTTCCCGAAGATAGCCACAACTTGAAAAACACAGCTCTAAGCATTTCTTGGAATATCAGTGCTGGCTGACAAGACAGGAACTGCCATCTGCGGTTCAGATTTCCAGTGGACTTGGCTTATGTGTTCAAATTCTGCAAATGTTGCTGTTAGAATCAGCAAGGGACTGTCTCCTTGCAACTGCCTGGAGCTGACAGCCTTGCATTTAATACTCAGATGCAGAATTTTCTCAAGAGCCCCTCCCCCACTTCTAGCACATGAACAAGTTGGGGAAATGAGAAGAGGGGACCCACAGAGGCCTTTATGTCCAGAACTACTGCCCAACTCCCTCCACAGAGGCCTCAGGAGCTGAGGGGGCAGTGCTTGCAAGCCCAGGGCCTCCACTTTGCCTTCCAGGCTGCTCCCCCTGCTGATGCTATGCTTGTTACCACTTTTGGAAACCTACAAGAAGAACACAAGAGCAACTTGGGCCTCACTGAGGTTTCGGTTCAGTGAACAGGTGAGGCTACAGCTCCTAGGAGTCAGCCTCATTCTCGACCCCTTCTTCGCCCCACCCCTCACTGCCGGTAAGGCCTGCGCCTGCACCTCATTGCAAGCCACGGTGGGGCTGCGGGTGAACGGTGGGCTCCCTGGGTCGGGTTGGAGCGTAGGGGCCGCATCTCCTGCTGGCTCCCAGCCCGCGCGGGTGCTGCCCATCCTCCCGACTTGTGCCATGATCTCCCTCCAGCCTCCTTCCTCCCTTCAGTGGGTTAGTCTGGTAGGGCGGCCATAATGAAGGACCACAAACCGCACGGTGAGGGCACCCTAATCAACAGAAATGGAAGGTCTCCCAGTCCTGGAGGCTAGAAGCTCAGAATAAGGTGTCAGCAGGATTAGTTCTGAGGGCCAAGGGGGCATCTGTGCCAGTTGCTTTGACTTGTAGAATCCTGGGGTTTTTTATGCGGGTCTGCACGTCATTTTACCAGTCATGTTGCATTAGAGGTCAACCCTAAACCAGTGTGACTTCATCTTAATCACATCTGCAAGGGCCTTATTTCCCAATAAGGTCCTGGTGGTTAAACTCCAATATATCTTTTCAGGGTGACATAATTCAATCCATAACAATCAGCAAGCCTAGGCTGGGGGGGAGAGCATGGAGAGCAGATCTGTTCCTTGTCTCTGCAGTTGTTGCCAAGCCGTGATCCTAGCCAGGGGAGCTTCTCACCTGGGCAGTGATTGGAAATGGTAAAATGCTATTCGTATAGATACATACATGTTACTAGGGGCTAGGCACTGTTTTAGGTAACAATTAATACATACAGAGCGTTTAGAATAGGACTAGATAAGTGTTCTCTATTAACACATTTAAACTGCAAAACAACCCTAGAAGTAGGTACAATTATTATCTCTGGTGCACAGACAGGGCAGGTTATTTACCTCAGGTCCCACAGCTAATAAGTGGTAGAACTGGAATTAGAACCCAGGCAGCCTGGCTCCGGAGCCTGACTCATAACCACCACATTCCAATGATGTGAGAGGTGCTGCGGTGGGCAATCATGTCAAAGGCTGGTGGAGTTACAGAGTCTGAAGAGGGCCCATTGGATTTATCAACAGGAAGTCATGGGTGGTGGAAAGAAACTAGCTTCAGTGACATGCGTGACTGTTGAGCACCTGCAAAGTGGTCAGTGTGTATAGCAATGTGCCATAACTAAAATACAAGGAATAATACCTTAATAAGTAAATAAACTACATGGGATTTCAAAGACTTTGTACAAAAAAAATGTAAAATGTTCCATCAATTATTGTATATTAATGCTGAATTGACATTTTGAATATATTGGGTAAATGAAATACATTATGAAAATTAAGTGCAATTGTATAGTCACTCTTTTAAACCATAGCTACTAGAATAGTTTAAATTACATATGCAGCTTGCAATATATTTCTGTTTCTAGTACTGGCCTAGAAGGTCACATTGGAGGAAAAGGGAGTAGTGGATAAAACTAGAGAGAGGTCCAGGTGACATCAAAGAACAAAGAGGGAGCAAGGGAGAAAGCACGCTGGTGGAGGGTAGTTGTAATGAGAATCGGACCCTAAGGCCGTAGAATTTCAGGAGGGGGGCAGTTCTTGGCAATGACAAAGTCCACGTGTGGCCTAGGAATCAGTCCTGGAAGTAGGAGGCAGAGATATTGCAATGAGAGGTGAGGGGGCACCTGAGAGATCATTAGGTGGCATTAACAGGGTCAGAGGAGACACTAATCTAGTTCAGGGCCTCTCAACCTCAGCCTTGTTGACAGTTAAACCGACTGGGGAATGCTTTGTGATGGGGGCGGGGCTTGGTGCAGGGCTTGTCCTGGGCTTTGTAGGTTGTTTAGCATCTCCAGCCTCTGAGCACTAGATGCCGGCAGTACACCCCTGCCCCCAATTGTAACTAAAACTGTCTCCAGACATAAATGTCCTGTGGGGGCGTGGGCTGGGGGCGTGGGCTGGGGGAGGGTTCTGGCAGTGGGGGAAGGTGGGAGCGGTACAAAATTGCCCCTGGTTGAGAACCACCGGTCTAGCTGGATGCTCTGAGCTTCAAAATAAGGTAGAAAAAGAATAGTCTTTAGGTGAGGGTAACAGGGTAGGAATTGCAGACATCACCTCTCAGCGTGGCCTATGTGGTGTGCAGTGAGCAGGTAGGAACTGAGCCAGGTTTCTCTCCTGGGAGCCATGTAGAGACAATAAGTATTTCAAAATATTAAACTAATATGATGCCCAGTGACCTTTGAATCTTGAGGTTAATTTTCCTAAATTGCCAATGAGATAATAGTTTCCATTATTTCAATAGTTTTAATTCTAGGACTTGATAGAGAAAAAGGATTGTCTTGATTTTCTAAGTTATTCCTTATGTATCAAGTGAGTTAGGTCTTAACGTAGTTTCACTAGAAGCTGTGTATACAGAAATGAAGGACTTTATTTGGGCAGGTTCACCCAGGCGCAAAACCGCTCTGCTTCTGAAACATTGATGAAAAGGCCAAGTGAGTCAGGCCTGAGAGTCTGTTCCACTCAGCGTCAGCTGGGGCCGTCCGAAGCCTTGGCGCCGGATCCCCCAGGGGGGCTTTCTCCTGTGTATCTGGCACTTGTGCTGGGAAGACACAACAGTTGGAGCTGGAACTGGTGGGGCTCTGCAGGCAGCCCTCTCAATGTGGGTGACTGCTTTGAAAACCCCATCCTACTCCCCACTTCCCTACAGTGGTTGGAGCTACTCTATTTTTATACTTTTAGTGGGTAACATTGTTTTTAAAGGTATGTAGTTTTGAGATATGTATTAATAAAATTCACCCATTTTCAAGTGCACTCTTCAAACTTCAATGAGTTTTGGCAAATGTATAGCTGTTTAACAATGATTAAAATATAGAATATTTCCATTACTCCAAAGAATTCCCTCATGTCCTTTTCAGTCAGGTGACCACCAATGTGCTTTGTCACTATAGTTTTATCTTTTCTAGAATTTCACATAAATGGAATTATACAGTATGTCATTTGTTGTGTCTGGTTTCTTTCACTTAGTATGGTTTTGAAATTCTGTATCATGTTTATCAATAGTTGGTTCCTTTTTCTTAATTTCCATGTCCTTTTGCTCAATCTCCATATCCATAGTTTGCTTCCGTATGAATATCACATACAATGTTTTCCCATTCACCAGCTGATGGAGCTTTGGGTTTCCAGTTTTTGACTAACATGACTAAGACCATAATGAGTGTCTTTGTATACAATCTGTGGGGCAGGATTTCTCTTCTCCTGGATACTTAGGAATGGCACTGCTGGGTCTTACCTTGGCATTTTGTATTTTTTAACACGTAAACCCCTAGTACTTACTAGACAATGAGAGTGAGCCCAAATTTCTGTTTCCTGCTCCCACACACAAGCTCACCAGCAAGAGAATTAGCTGTAACTCTCCACATAAGCCTTGGTGCCTCTCCTGCTGAAATCGTTGGAGTGTTTTCATTTAGCAAAATTCACATTGTAACGAACAATTACACAGATTTCCCTGTTTTTTTTATTTTGAATTGGCAGACCTGACAATTCTTTTAGTCTTAAATTCACTTTCTATTTCACTGGAATAAGACCTTTAGGAACTCTTTTAGATAAATTTATAAGTGTTAATCTGAATCTTTGCAAGCTTGAAAACATAATTTTGCCCTTAAACTTGAATATCTTGGGGTGTAGAAATCTAGCTTTACAATCCATTTTCTCACAGAATTGTGAAGATCTCTGGTGTGGCAGCTGGTCTGGCTCCTGGATGTCTCCTGCTTGTACCCACTGGGGTGGCACAGCCCTGCTGCTCCGTGCCTGAGTGCCCTACCACCCCCTGCAGTGTTAAATATTCCTTTACAAAAGTTACCTTATCATAAAAACCTTAAGAAAGCCCTCCCTCTTCTAAGGAAAAATCTATTTACATTTCCTTCTAATATACTTCAGTTTTACTATTTATTCTACCTGGAATTTGTTTTTCCAAATGGTGTAGATGGAAATTTGTTCTCCGAATGGGTGGCTGACTCACAGCCATTCTTTACTATTTTGAAATGTAAAGTTTATCATTTACTAAGCTCCCATATAGTCTTAATGTTACATTGATCTGTGTCAATGAAAAGCTTATTACTTAGTAAATTAGAAACACAAGTTACAGAACCATACTGAAGTATGGCACCATTTTATCCAATGAAGCAAAAAGAAATCTACAAAGTACAGATATGTGTGTTTGTGTGTGTGTATTTTTGTTAAATATACAGAAAGGAATTTGGAAGGTTACCATACTAATAAATTACATTTAAGAAGGGTAATGGGATTTTTCTCAAGATGGTGGCATGAGTAGGGTGGCAGAAATCTCCTCCCAAAACCATATATATTTTGGAAAATACAGCAAATACAACCATCCCTAAAAGAGAGACCAGAAGATACAGTACATGAGCCAGACTACATCTACATCTGTGAGAACTCAGCATCTCACAAAAAGGGTAAGATACAAAGCTGTGACCTGGTGGGACCTGAGCACACCCCCAACCCCAGCTCACTGGCAGGAGGAAAAGAGTCAGAGCGGGGAGGGAGTGGAAGCACAGGAATGCCAAATAACCAGCCCTAGTGATCTGCACCAGGAGCACAGACACACATTGCATGGTGTACTGGATATTAGAAATGGAAAAGTAACATCTGAGACTGCGACTGTGAACAGGTTCCCACAGCCCACTGCCCTGGGACAAAAGAAAAGTGGGCACTTTAAAAGTCTTAAAGGGACAAGGGTTTAACAGGTGGATAAAATCGTCCTGGAACACTCAGCCCAGCAGGCTGGGAATTTTAAGGAACTTCAGGCACCCTAACCCCATGGTGGCAATGCAGCACTGCTCTGAAGCCCCTCATGGTGATAAGCAGCCTGCCATTCATTCCTTCCCCTGACCCCCACCGGCACTGCAAGCAAACCAGCTGACCCACCATTGCTGCGGACCAGCTGGGGAGCAGCCCCACCCACAGCAACCATACAGAGTCTTCTCCCAGCGTGCAGCTAACTGGCCCAGCCCAGAGGCTGTCCCCAGTGTTCAGCTGCCCGGCACAGGCAGAGGAAGCTGGCGCTAAGTCCGGAAGGCATGAAGAGGTGCTGTTCTCACAGGAGAACACACGCCACGCACCTGTGACCCACACAGTGCCCTAGGCTATCCTGAGGGCCACCCCACCCATGGCAGCTCAGGGGATCAACCCAGAGACTGCTCCCTGTGTGCGGGTAACTGGCACAGGCAGTGGGGAGGGCAAGGAGATCAGCAAGCAGGAAGGGACTCTGTTCTCCCAGCTGACACACATGCCACTTGCTGGCAAAACTTCTATCGACATGAAAAGGCAGAAGAACCTGGTCCAGTCCAAAATCACTCAAACAACGCCAGAAAGAGAGCCTGGTGAGATAGATATAACCAATCTTCCTGGGAAAGAATTCAAAATAAAAGTCATAACCCAAAGGGAACCCTCCTACACAGCTGGTGGGAATGGAAATTAGTTCAACCATTGTGGAAAGCAGTACGGAGGCTCCTCAGAATGCTCAAAATAGAAATACCATTTGACCCAGGAATTCTACTCCTAGGAATTTACCCTAAGAATGCAGTTTGAAAAAGACAGATGCACTCCTATGTTTATTGCAGCACTACTTACAACAGCCAAGAAATGGAAGCAACCTAAGTATCCACCAGTAGATGAATGGATAAAGAAGATGTGGTGCATATACACAATGGAATATTATTCAGCTATAAGAAGAAAACAAATTCTACCATTTCCAACAACATGGATGGAGCTAGAGGGTATTATGCTCAGTGAAATAAGCCAGGTGGAGAAAGACAAGTACCAAATGATTTTATTCATCTAAGAACAAAGAAAAAACTGAAGGAACAAAACAGCAGCAGACTCACAGAACCCAAGGATGGACTAACAGTTACCAAAGGGAAAGGGACTGGGGAGGATGGGTGGGAAGGGAGGGGTAAGGGGGGAAAAGGGGCATTACGAGATTAGCACACATAATGTAGTGGGGGGACACAGGAAAGGCAGTACAACACAGAAAGGACAAGCAGTGATTCAATAGCATCTTAGCACGCTGATGGACAGTGACTATAATGGGGTGTGTGGGGCGGACTCGATGATGGGGGAAGTCTAGTAACCATAATGTTGCTCATGTACTTGTACATTAATGATACCAAAATTAAAAAAAAAAAGATGCTTGGACGTGAGCAGAGCTAGCCTCAGAGGGGAGGGAGGAGCACTCTAGGAAGGACTGGTGAGCAGGACCCAGGCGGGGGGTGGGGGGTGGGGAAGGCATGATTCCGA